TAGGGACCCCCTTTTCTGGTATTCAGAGGGCCGTTCAGGAAAAATTAAACATGGTTCTGTGGTCCCGCATCTGCCCCTATATCATGCAAAAGACCGTTTTCAAAAAGCTCGTCACGCCCTGAAAGACCTTCCTGGTTAGCCCTCTCTAACAAAAAAAAACCAACCGTTAGAGGGTGATTTTCGTGTTGTTGTCGCAGGTCCGCCTATTTCGCGACGGCGCCTTTTCCGTAGCCGACTTTTCCTCGAATATTTAGACGATATTTTTACCTACTTACTCAAACCACAGCCATCACCTTGTCGCAAGTATATGTAGTGTAGAGTAGGCATAAAGAGGCTATTACATTTCAGAATCGATTCCGATCTCATGGCCCATTTCAAAGAACTTGCTCATCATCGGCGCTATACCTCGCTCGATAACATTATTTATTGCTCACCCTATCAAAACATGTTCACGGAAAAATCATGGGGGTGCGTCATATGGCGCGATCCCATTGGCATTGGAGCGCAGGCCGTAATTACCACATCCTGCTGTGGCCGGACAACTCGTCCGCAACACATTCTGTTCCGTTCCTCTTGCCTTGGCATCAGGCCAGCGAAGCTATTCTCTTTTTTCCTTGGGACTCAGCGAGATTTTTGAGACCCAAATTATCAGATCGATCAATTACTGAAGTCTGGTAGTTGAGTGATACGGACGAGTTGTCCGGCCGCAGCAGGATGGGGCAATTGCGGCCTGTGCGCTCTAATGCCAATGGATCGCGCCATATGACCGCCTCCCAAAAATCATGATTCTATCTCATCCGTAAATCACTGGCTTGAGTCCAGATAGACCTCCAAGAGAAGAACGAATAGGACAAAAAGTTGTGTTTTGCTCGCATACTATTCGAAAAATTTGGAGGAACCGTTATGCGTTTGAACTCCCGCCGCATCTGCCACAAATGTTGGCGCCAGGAACGATTCCCATGAACCTTCACTAGGAACTATTTTTGGCTTTTTCCACCTATGCTGGTATCATTTCCCTTTTTTACTACCTCCCAAATCGCGATCATTTTGTCTCCATTCTCCAATTCGAACGCTTTAATCCGATTCCTTCCTTGCGTCTCCTGGAACATGACCGCCACAGAGCGCACTTCTTCCCATGCGCTCCCGCGTTTTCACCTGACTTAGGCCGATGTCAGACTTTGCGAATCGCGCGATTCGCTAGCGATTCGCTAGCGTCCGCGGTCGCGTTGCGGTACCAGCCAATTGAGTGATTCACTGGCCGCGACGCGACCGCAGACGCTAGCGAATCGCGCGATTCGCAAAGTCTGACATCGGCCTTACATCGACCGTCCATGGGGCGCAGTACTCGCAAGTTTCTATGTGGGGACTGAATCTTCTTTCGTAAAACTTTTTACTTTGTTTCCAGTGCAAGCGGCATATTCATGTTGGGAACCAGTACAAGAATTTCCCGTGAACGATTCCTTCCAACAAACCATGAGCTTTGATTAACCTCCCCTTCAAAAAGCGAGAAAGTGTCGGGTGCAGACCAAACACCACAACTGACGACGGCCTCCAAGTAAATCTGGTTAGAAGTTGTTCATAGTGATAGCTGATTTCTGGTAAATGATAGTTGTAATTAGTGACAATCGATAGAATACAACTGCAACAGGCTAATCATTTCATTGGCAGAAAACATTAACATTTTGTGAAGGCCGTCGTCACTTGTGGTGCATGGTCTGCACCCGACACTTTCTCGCTTTTTGAAGGGAGGGTATTTTTTCTGGCTTATGTGCTTGTATAGTCTTAAACACGTACTGAACAGCTTATTTGAAACAACTTCATCGCATCCAGTTACAATGCCAAATCGGCTATGTGAGTGGGGGGGGGTGATGCAGGGGGACATTTCTAAATAACGGAACCAAAAATGAGCGGAATTAAGGGGCCAAAATGGAGTGTGCAATCGATACTGCTGGCTCGACTTATAGAAAAAGAAAACGGAAAGCAGTACAGATTGATCTTAAGCATGTTGCTTGGGTGTCTGCTCCAGAAACGGGGTGAATTGGGGGTATTTCATAACAATTCAGGTAGGTGATCTTGGTGAAGACTTCACTTCTTGAAGACTTTGTCTGTTGGCTCCGTTCAACATCGCCAGATGAATGAGTTGTTCTCGTTTCAGTGAGTCGAATTCCGTAGTGAACATATCAGCAATACGTTTTTTCGCCTTCTCGATCAATTTCGGCATCTAAAGCATGAAAAGGTTACCCAATAGGTTACCCAAGGATGCTCACAAAACGTTGAAAACTTACTCGACGCGTGATGTTCCCTTGGCCTCGACAAGTACGTGGGTGTCCTCTCTCAGATTACCGAAGCCGGGTTTGTAACGCATCTTGCGGAAGAGCTTACTGTCCTTGAAAGGAATGAACTTGAAGAGCGTCGAGATCTTTCCGTGTGGGCAAACTTACCTTGATGCTCCCTCTGCCGACGATGGCGATATGGCATCGGGTCTCCAGTTGCAGTTCTCTTAAGTTATTTCCATTTAGTCCAATTAAGCGACCGATGTAGCTACATTTCACTCCACTGAGATGCTTCCTCCTAAAATGATACAGCTTGAAGTTGAGGCTGCTTCACTTTTCAGACCAACTCCACTGCATGCATTTTACGATGGCAATCGATTGCTCGCATGATAAATTAATACACATTCAAAAGCATACACTGGGTCAGCGGAAGAGATGACTGAAGCGCTGGCGGGTGACGGAATATTAAACTTTCACAGACATTGATGATATCATTGAACTCAGTTTTCCCTGGAAAAGGATTTAGGGTCTCAGGGCGGAAAAAGTAGTGGCCATGAAATAATTATAAAAATATAGAATTAATAGAGACAACAGACATACAATAATAGAGAAAAAAAAATATAACATGAACATAGACAAAAACAGATCACAGAGAAATCAACGATCCCCAAAGGTTCATCAATGGTAGATGGAAGCGTTCAGAAATTGGGAGAGCATAGATACAAAAAAGGGGATACAAAACAAACAAATATCGATAAGAAATACTCCTTAAAATTTTTTACGACCCCCCCCTTCATGGGTGATTTGATACGACCCCCCTTGTATGTGACACTTGTGTAGAGACAGTGTTTACCATCAATATTTATTTCTACGTAAGTCATCAAAGATGAAACTTTAGCAAAATCCACGACAGATATTCATCGCTGCTTCCAAACACGAAAAAATGAGATGCATTCAAAGATATCCGTGTACTCCAAAGGGTTACCAAACTAGGAGATGAAATAAACTGAACCAGTGACCGGAATATTGACAATATTACCTGATAAAAACTTATGAGAAGTCAGAAAAAATTATCGCTCCAATTGAAATACTGAAATCCTTCACGTTCTTCAATTGCAACACAATTTTTACACCCCTCTTTCTAAGGCTATAACTTCCTTCATATTCGAGCTTCTGCGCCGAAGTGATTTGATTTGGAAAATTCAAATTATTCTCTCTCCAACCATGGGTAAAAATTCTTCGAAAGTTAATTTAATAAAAATTTAGTACGTTGTTACTTTTTTCTGTGCAAAGCGACTTTTTGACCTTTAACGATCATAACTTCCTTCAAAGTCATTCATTTGGGAAGCTGAACACGTATAATAAACTACAGGATTCAAGCTTTCTAACGAGCACCCAAGCGTTCCTGAAAGATCAGCAGTTCAAAAATTTAGTCCCGTTGTTACTTTTTTTTTTGAGGGGTATTCTTCAAGCCATTTTCTCGAAAACGCGAGTTTTCTTAGGTTTCACTGCCCGTAACTTCTTGGAAGACCAATTTTATGTTTAACTTAGGATGTGCTAGAAAGCTTCGAGCATGCGCTTGCACTACATCCCTTGCCTTGGTGCGCGCCACGCCTCGGGCGCCCTTCTAATTCGCTGATTCATTTGAAAGCTCATTTAGAGGGAAGCGTGGTTTATAGATGCTCTAGTATCAGTCATCTTACGAAAACGTAACGTGCTGGCTATTATCCGATATTACCAAGAATCCCACTGTCGGCCACCGAGAGGGTACGACCCCCCTCCAAGCTCAACTGAGTACGACCCCCCGTTGTTACTCGTAACAACGTAGGGTTGACCCTGGCGTATGTGCAATTAGGGAGCAGGCGGTAAGGGTGGTAGACCATTGGGCGAGGAAGACTACATACAATACGTACTGATTGGTTTGCTCCACAAATTAGACGCGAGTAGGCGCGAAGTAGGCGATCGCCAATAGGCGGGGCAAGTTTTGATATAAAACATTTTCTTATCTTCTAGTCGCCTACTCGCCTACTTACCTGATCGTCTCGCCCACTCGCCTAATCGATATGTACACTTCTTTTTGAATCACCACCTATTCGCCTAATCCCACAGTCTGAACGCTTCATAAACTATTTTCGAACGACGAGCGGAAATACCGAATCCATTTCCCTGCCTAGAGCTCAGTCCCGAGTACAGCAATTGGCTCACTAACTTATAAAATGTGAGCATTGTTAGCGAAAAAAAACAAAATGAATGAATCTGTATATAAATATTGTATTAACGTTAAACATGATGAGCGAAACATTGCCACTAAAATAAGAATATAAATAAGTGCCTGTAAGTATATATTACAGTTACCAGTAAAATGAAAAAATAACAAAATTAAGATAATAAAAAATATAAGAAAATAATATAAAAACACCACAACACACACACAACACCAACAACCCGCCAAACGACACGAGAAACGATGAAGATATATTAGAAGACTGTGGACACATGAAAAGCACAAGAGCTCGTACAATGGTTGCTGGAATTGCTGCGTGTTACAGCGAACAGCAAATACGAAGCTATACGATGCTTTACGAGTCGATAAAATGCATATTGCATCGTGCTTGGGGCAGAGTCAACCCTGCGTTGCGCAGTTCTCAACGGCCACGTTGCGCAGTTTCGCCCGATTAGACACGTTCTCTCGCGCGAACATTCACACTCGCATGCTCGAGCCGTCTGTGTCTCCGCCCATACAGCGTGCGTTGAGGATCTCTCAACGTGCCGTTGCGAACTGCGCAACGCAGGGTTGACTCTGGTTGGGAGCGAAATATGGCCAGTCAATCAGCATTCAACGCAGCCATGATGGAAAATTCCCCACTGGTCCAAGTCCAGATAACTGAACGGCTCATCTTCCTTTGCTTCTTTTGGTGAAATGCTGGGAATAAAAACATGTTCATGACCTAAGAAACTGGTTCAATTTAACTGAAGGCACATTCAGTTCTCGCTGCTTTTATCAGTACCAGTTGAACCATCAACACCTCGCCACCTTGATCGCCTTGCCAGTAATGATTGCAACGAAGTTCGAGAGAGCTTGCATTCAGATGCCCCTATCATTCCTTATCAGTTGTTATCAGTTCATGCAGCTCTCCACCGGTGTCCCCGTCCCACCCTCCAGGCAACGTGTAGGAACTGTTTTACTGTCACGACAAAGGCTATAACGAAATTAGTGGTATCAGATTTAGAACCAGACACCCCGGACACATACACACCGTCTCACACACACACACCGGACACACACACATACACACCGTCTCACACACACACACCGGACACATACACCTACACACCGGACACACACACCGTTTAGAGGAAACAAAAAGAGGAAAACAAAAGTTCAGCCGTGCGAAACTCCGTAAGGTTGAGGAAGTGCAGTGAGGAGTGCTGCGGGTTATCCTATGCAGGGTGTTGGAAATGAAGTACTGCTCAAAGCCAACCAAGCCATTGATCTTCCTGAAGTTAGACAACAGTTTTATAAAACGCTCTGTGCTTTCTATAGCTCTTGTATAAGCCATTTCAGTTCATGCGTGAGTCAAATGGTTATCACGATCTCAACAGTCGTCAAATGCATGGCGTGTACGAAAATGCAGAAACGCGTAAAAGCATCAAGGAGCACGTGCCACCCATACCAAGCTGAAGAAGTGTTACACGCTTTCTCATGGCCAAACACGATCAACCGACTTTCCACACCAGCTCGAGTAATGAATTATTGTGATAGCTTGATAAGAACCACGTGCACGTATAAAAGGGCCAAGCCACGGTTTGCATCATTTGTTTGCTCATCGCCGCAAAGCAATGCGTGGAGTGTTCGTTGTGGTTATGGTGTGCTCTTTTGGAGCAGGATTCGGGTCGATATTTGGATCATTGGCGGCTATACGAGTATGCATGGGATGAAGGTTGGGTCTGATTTTCCAGGTAATTCTTGTACTAGAGTAGGCAACGTGAGAAAAAGAGGTGCAGGAAAGAAGAAGAAGAAAAAGAAAAAGAAGTAGAAGCAGAAGCGGGAGCTCAGGCCTTTAGGGGGCATATGAAGCAGCGCATCTGAACACCGCTTGGAGGTGAAAATAGGACTGAACCTAGGAGAGTATGGAATGTCAGTGCGACATTATTGCTCACGCCCTGCACAGAATCTCTTAACCTGCCTAAGGCCTGGTCAAATTCTTCGTTAGTGACTCAGGGTCTGTTGTCCGACGGGCGTGGCATCTACTGAGGGCAACTGCTATTGACAAAAGAGAACATGTCAGAGCCTGTCATATACAGGGGTGGCCAAAAAAAAGAGACACTTTGCCCATGGCGCACATCATCGAACTTTTCGTCGCACAGGGAGCCGATGTTAATGAAAGTTTTACGGCGGAATATTCCTTAGGTGTTCCCCCGTAAACAGAAGCAGGCCCTCCTTCACTGCCCCACCGTCTTCAGAATATGACGTCATCTGCCGTCACCGTCGAGCTCAACGAGGCTTACCGTAATCGCTCCGGCCTGAAGCTGCTACATAATTTCTTCAATGGATTAACTGTTGAATAGCTTCCCAGAGACATTAGCTGTGACTATGCAAAACCGCTTTTGACCAGCGTTTCAGAGGACGTCGTAATGTCTATGGTACCTCGACGACCTCGTTGAGCTCGTACCGTGCACAATGTTTCCGTGGGAAAATCTTCTGATGTCGTCGGTGTAGAAGGCTGTTGTGTAGCTTGTTGATAGATTATAACGTGCTCTTCAATATTCAGTTGGGGTCATTTGGTTTGGTTTCGCAACGCGTAAATAATTCCGTTTTGAATGTGGAGTGAAGTGTCTCTTTTTTTTGGCCACCCCTGTATACTGAAACTCTCCACTGAGCAAACTAAGACATGTCAGGAACTGGGACGTAAATTCTGAGAGAAGCTGACCTACCCTCGCCTTCAAATGACCAGAAATTGTGCAATTGCAGAAATTGACGTGGCATTAACGTGGCATCGATTCAAGAACATCTTTGAGCACACGTGATGTCACCTTTTCAGATTTAGCCACGTGTGCCAATGCCACGTCAATTTCTGCAATTGCACAATTTCTGGTCATTTGAAGGCGAGGGTATTTCCTGCCTTACTTCTTTTTTCTTTTTTTCCACATCCAGAAAAAGTGGCGCACCACAAGATATCGGGCTTCCCCTAGGACTAAGCCTCGGGGTGGGCAGGAGCTACGAAAAAGATGAAAATCACTCGGTCTGGAGTCTCCCTCCCTCCGCCAAGACAAGTCCCTTCCCTCTTTTTACGGTA